TACTTGTGCATCATTATATAAGTCATTAGTTGGGTATAATTTTGATTTGCCTAACATTGATTTTAAAATTCTTCTTTGAAGTACACCTAAATCGTTAAAGTATGTCGTGCATGCAGCACCCCACACTACTATACCATATGTTATGTGTGGCTCGACTAAAGCTTGATATATTATTCGTAGATAATGTTCAGTTAATATACCGGTTAGAAATTTTATTTTATATGCTATGAATCTAATTTTCTTTAGTATGTGAGGAATATGTACATCCCATCTCAAGTGGAGATCTAGATAAATTCCCAAACATTTTGTATCATTAACTCTATTGATTTTTATATTTTTATCATTTACCTTAAACCGAAGATGGTTATATTTTGTTAGATGATTAGATAGTGATGAAAATGGTAAAAAATGAGTTCTGGTAAAGTTAATTGTTAATTTTCGGTTATTAAACCACTGAATAATTTTGCAAAAGTCATTTTGGATAATATCTTTTAAGTCGTTCCAATCCTTACCTTTATAGAGTATAGCAGTATCGTCTGCAAAATTGACTATTTTACCAGTACTGTTAATTTTGAATATATCGTTTAAATAAATACTGAATAACAGAGGACCCAAAATTGTACCTTGTGGAACACCACATTTAACAAACATTTCTTTACTATACGAGCTTAATAATTTTACTGATTGCGGTCTATTTGATAAATAATTTTCCATTAAAGTATACATCTTTCCACGAAAACCTATTCTTTTTAAGATTTCCAAAAGTATATTGTGGTTAACTGTGTCGAACGCTTTTTGTAAGTCCACAAATACGCATATCGATGGTACTTTTCCATCTATATTTTGGGTTATTTCATCTACTATACTTAATACCCCATCTGTTGTAGATTTGCCCGCTATTAAACCATATTGATTTGAATTTAGAATTTTGAATTTATTAAGAAAGTTAATCATTTTATTAAGGAGTAATTTCTCAAAAACTTTAGCTAAACTTGATATAAGTGAAATAGGTCGATAGTTAGTGACGTCGGTATTATCATTAGATTTATAGATAGGTATGATGATTGCTGTCTTGAAAGCTGACGGAAATACTCCAGATTGGAAGGATTTAATGATATAAGCAAGTGGTTCTGTTATTTGTTTGGCCAGTATCTTTAGATGTTCAGCTCTAATTTCGTCAACTCCAGGGCTTTTTTATTTTTTAGAGTCATAATGGCATTGAAAACATCCTGATAGTCTACTTCAGTTAATACAAATGAATTATTAAGTCTTGTTTCATGCAGATGAATATCAGCATTTTGTTTGATATTATTTGCTAAGTTTCCTCCTATATTCGTGAAAAATTCTATGAACTCATCACATATTTGCTGAATATTGTCTGTTTTCTTTCCTGTTTTTGTTTTTATTTCATTAATATTGTTTTTTGAATAGGATGACTTATTGAATATATCATTGACAGTGGACCATAGGTGTCTAGAGTCATGTGAATTATTATTCAATTGTTTTATATAGCAATTTTTTTTGCTTTTCTCAAAAGTTCTATAAATTTGTTTTTATATTGATTATGATGATCTATATTTTCTTTCGTGGGTAAATATTTCATGATTTTATACAGTCTTTCTTTTTCATTTGCAGATTTTATTAGTCCTTTGGTCATCCAATCATTTCTGCTTTTTTCCTTGTGACTTATTTTAACCTTATAAGTACTAACTTCAATTACTTTTTGAATTTTGTGTATTAATAAATTTGTAGCTTCGTCTAAAGAATTTGTTAAAAAAATTTCGTCCCACGATTCCGTTTGTGCGTTAAATATTAATTTTGAGTTGTCAGTGAAATATTTGTATTCAAGGTTTCTTTCATTTTTTGCCCTTGGGCAGTTCTGGTTTTTATTTTGTGAAGATATCAATAATACAGTGGAATAATGATCTGTAATATCGGTTTCATAGATAATAAGTATGTAAGAAAAAATATTGGAAATATCCTTTATAAAGCAGTGATCAATGCAGGTTTTACTGGTGGGTCGTGGTTAGGAAGTTTGGTTAAACATAAATTCTTAGTTTTAGTTCATAAAATAATATTGTCATCAAAGCCTGAATATCTAAGAGCTAAGTTAAGAATTAATTACGAAGTGCATGACAGGGCTGTTAGGAATCGCTATAGTATCAGAACCACCCCACACACTTCTGCATTATTCCAACGAGGATTTACATATAATGCAGCACTATTTTACAATCAGTTGAACAACAGTATTAAATTGATGTCTTTGGAAAGTTTTCGTAAACATACTAAAAGCATGTTGCTCGCTATTGATTAAATAAACATTTCTGCTACAGATATAGATTATGCCTATTTGTATTTTATACTTAGTTATATATGTGTTATTTTTTTCATTGTTCTTATATTTTTTTTTCATGTTTTGAACATCAGATGTAACCGACATAAACACTTAAGTGTAAGAGTAGCCTTGGCTAAACTTCGCTGTTTATGTCCCTCCGGGTTATACAATAAAGACGTTATTATTATTATAATTATTATTATTATTATTATTATTATTATTATTTGATTAAGGTTGACTTATTCCTTATTTGATAGCTGGTTGAATAAAAAATCAAAGTGAATTCGACTTATAACGATTCTATATTTTTTTGAAACAATGTCCACGGAGACTGGACCATATCCCGTCGTATAGTCCACCCAAAACACGGAATGCGTAAAGGCTCGGCTAAACGCTATTGCTTCGCCGCTAGCCGATTTTTTTTTGTCGCTGACGACCCACTTTTTGACGGCATTGTCTCTATTCGCCATTCAACTGTCCTATTCTGTACTCTTTTAAGAGCACTCCCATGTACGTTGCCAACAATTATTTAATATGCTGTCGTTTCTGAAATGATGTGGCCATTATCGGAGTGACCATCAGTGATTACACCGTTATGGAAGGGCTCATCGGCCTGGCTACGAAATGAATACAGGCTGTCAGTGATGAGCGTTTACGCGAATGTATACTTCAATTATGTGCATTTTCACGTAGATAATACGTTAACAACGTAATGTAGGCAATGCGTAACCAATAACATGCCTAAGTTTATTGAGAAACGACAGAGCTTAAATGGAAGAGCATTGAACTAGCTTGTATTTACAATTTAGATGTATTTGTATCAATTCCATTTTCCTGCACAATAAGGTTGGTACGAGGGATGTCTTTTAAGTTTTGCATATGGAAATAAAACAACACGGTAGGTAGTTTTAAATGACTTTATTGTTTTTCGAAGTATTCTCCGCGAAGATTAATACACATCTGCATGCGCTCGAACCACTTATTCCACTCCTTTGCTGGCAGATCCAAAACGGCATTTTTGAATGCGTAAACTGCTTCTTCTGGTGACTAGAACCTTTGACCACGCAGTCTGTTTTTAATTTTCGGGAAAGTAAAGAAATCGTTAGGACTTAGGCCCGTATCGTCAGTCGTCCCTACAATTGTAGGGCGCCTTTATGGCCTCCTTGATTGTCATAGTTTTCTACTTCACCGTGTCAGCGCTCTATTTTGAGGTTATGTCACAAACATATATTTGCATCAAATTGTGCTTGCTTTTGAGTTATATCATGTTTTATCAGCCTGAAATTTCCTACGATTTAAAAAGAAAACTTATCTTTACAATAGGAGAGCGCTGACGCTGACACGGGACAAGTGTAATCTAGAAATTTTTGAAGGAGAGAAAGGGGTATGACAATCAAGGAGGCCATAAACGCGCCCTACAATTCGCTCACCGGCTGCAACATTGGCACACATCAAAACTATATAATTTCGAGATATAGCTGGTTTAAGAATAGCCAAAACAAATTTAATTATTTTGACGTGTAACGTGACTCTTAGGTGATCTCGCTTTCATACGGCTTTTCTGGCATTGGCATTACAATACATAATATCAATCAGAATTTGAGTTCTCTTTTAAATATGACATTTTGTTTTTTTTTAAATTTTGACTTGTGCCGTTTTATGAACGTAATTGTTGTCATTTTTGGAGTTGGAGCATGGTAAATACTCAGTATCATACTTTTCAAAATTTTAATTATCGCTCAACAACAGAACCTGCACATTAAAATGCGATACAAAAAATCGTATAAAGAACTAAACAATGTACTTTTGAAACAAATGAACCTGTAACTTTTCTGGAAATGAAAGGTACGCGCAACTTAAATTCTAGCTAATAATTTTATGATACAGGAGTTTTAAAGAGAAACTAATCGACATCGTTAGATACTTTAAGGCTGTTATAGAATGGGCTATAACATTTCTTTATAGTATTCATGCGTAACAGGAACATCAGTCCATCGTACTTCTTTTTTGATATCGGAAGTATATCTCGATAAGCCGGTTCCAACTTCACATTATCGAAAGTTTGATTTGTTCGGGTAGTTCTTTGTTTAATCTCAACAACTCTATATTCAGGCTCACTATAAGAAGTTTTGTATAAAAATTTATCTAGATTTTCTTTTTCTATCCTTATGATGGCTGCATTAGCCAGCTTTACAACCTCACCGGAAGAGTCCTTCTTAAAGTTAAAAGATGTCTGTTCAGATAACTTTTTTAGATCTACAAAATCGGCGTAGCTCATTTCTTGGACTTTGTAAGGTAATCCAGTCTTTTTGGCTGTCTGAACCAGTGATACGTACTGGTCAGGTGTATATATTGGACCTGATTTCAGGGCACGTTTAACATGTTTTTCAATAACCGAATGAACGTTATCGCCTTCGTTCTGCGTATGTCCTGTTATAAGGTATTTATGTGTAATTGATTTTATGTTGTATTTTGATAATGCATAAAAATATGCAGCGAGAATAAATTTCTTTTTTTGCTGTCCAGCGCAGTTGTCAGAATAAAAAACTACTTCTACATTTTCTTGAGCAGAAGCCTTGTATTCAAGGTATTTTAGTAAGCATGAACCAATTTCATTAGACCCGCGTCTTCCTTGACCCTCATGCCACATGAAACACACCACTTGTCACTGTCCCGTTTTATTCAAATCACACATAGTGAAGTTATACGTCGACAGTTTTGATTTATAATAAAAGTCAGAAACATCTCCTTGAGGACATGGCAGAACAGCTTGTAAGTCGTAACAACAAACCTGGTATTTATCACTGACTTTTTCTTTGTCGGCTAGTTTTTCTGCTCTGCTTATTTTTTTTTCATTTTGGTGTTGCTCATATAGCTTTTCTAAATCTTTCTTTTCCCCTTCATTTGCGTTGCCATAGGCAACGCACGTGTGGCATTGATCTTTTTTAGGAATGAAAAATGCTAGGTTAAATTCATAATTGAATATGTTTCTATACATAGTCAGTGTTGCCGTTGCTTTACCTCTAGCAACGCAATCTTTTTTGTAATCTCTGTATAAATCAGTGATAGTTTTGCTACCTTCTATGTATTTTTTCTCACTGTGAGCTCTTGTATAGTGACTCTCTATTTGAGGTATTGATGCAATATGAGCACGAACATCATTTTTAATTTCATCAGATATTCGGGTTTGATTACCATGTTTCCCCCTTTTGTCTTCAAAATCACCTTCAGCTCTTTTCGATATGACACTCCGAATACAGCGATTGCTGATGCCAAAAGTTGATGTGAAGAATTTCTTGCAAACCCTAAGTTTCTCTTCTCCTTTTTCCAAATGAAACGAATTATTATTAGTTCGTTTTCGTTTGCCATTGATTAGAATGGGATACGTGTATTTTGGTGTGATTTCTTGCATCAGAGTAGCAATAAACACCCCCTGTTTGTTAATATTGGCTAAATTCCAGAACTTGGTGAACAGGAACTTCCTATCCTCTTCAGTGAATTTTGCTGTACATTTTAGCTTGCAAGTGCCGTCACAGGGTTGTGTCATTTGTCTACTAGATACTGGTTTATTCTTGTTTAAGGTGTGGTATTCTTGTCCACTGTTTCTTAATAGCTTAGTTTTATTTCTTTTCCATTCACAGGGCTCTGCTTTTCTCTTCCTACTCTTCTTTTTCTCTGTGCATGATTCCGTCGGGCATTGAGAATGGTGTGATACAACTGGTTCTTCATAGTCAGGATCCATTATTGAATCGTCAGATGAAAAAGGATCTTCTAAGTCCAACTGCTCTTGTCCAGTTCCAATTACGTCTCTGCTTTCTTCCGCCTCCGAGAGCTCTTGCGTAGTTGTAGCACATGACTCTCCATCTAAAACTGCTTCTCTTTCTTGAATTCTGCAATTATCTGATGGAAAAAGACTTCCTACGCCTAGTTCCTCTACAATTTGGTTTTCAACAAGCTTGCAATCACCATCTTTTTCAAATTTCTTACTCCTAACAGAAGCTTCCGGGACTTGTGGAGATGTGTTTTCTTTGTCCGCTTCACTTTCTGAAGCTCGTTCTATGTTTTTAGGCGTTACGCTGGTTGAGTCTGCATTAGTAGCTTGAGGTACTATCTTCCACTCTTCGCTGGTGGGTCCTTTCTTTAATTTGATCCCTACCATAGAGAGCATTTTTGCGCTCCTCGTTTTTTCCATTGTACCCGACAATAACTGAAACAATGTATACTACTAATACTTGAATGCTATAAATTTCTTTAAACTGGATCAATAAACATCATAAAGACACAAACAATTTTCAAAATTGCGAGAGCCATTTTTGTCATTACTTTTCAGCCACAAAAATAAGCTACATCATGCAAAACAGATTTCTGTTTGCGTAGGCTTTGGAAAATACTTATCAGTTTTGTAGCATAACATACAATGCAAGAATGGCACATATCGCAATATTACCGTATTCGCTTATATAATTTGACCACAGTTTGGGTGCAATAATGACATATTTCGAAATATGCCACTAGTGATAGCTTGCATAAATATGCTTTGACCACTACCCAGGTTCAAGAAAGGCACATTTCGAATTATGCTATTATTGCTTACCAGTGTAAATAAAATTTGACCACTACTTTGATGCAATGAAGGCACATCTTGAAATATGTCGCTATTGCTTACCTGCACAAAATAGGATTCAGGAAAATGACGGTTTTCAGCCTTAAGTGTCACTATTACGTGCGTCCCACACAACTTCCGCAAGGCTACTGGCACGCTACTGGGTAGATGTGTCGGTATTGCCCGTAGATGCAAGGAAGATCAACTAAAATTCGGAAACGGCACAAGTGCCATCTAGCGGTTTCTATCACAATATACGGTTGTGCCAGTATTGCAGGAGATGAAGTGAATATTGATGGATGATTCGCGATTGAAAGTACGATTTTGGTTTTTTTTTGATTTGTGCCGCTATTGCAGCCGGTGAGCGAATTGTAGGGACGACTGACGATACGGGCCTTAGATCGGGACTATATGGAGGATGGTCCAATAATACCACGTTTTCTTCCGTTTAATACTGCCTTGTCTTTTGGGTTGTGTGCGAGCTTGCATTGTCTTGGTGGAGGATGATTCTTCTTTCGGGGTTGATTTTTCGAAGCTCGGTGATGACTTTTGGCAGATAAATCGTGGTATACCAATCCGCAGTAACAGTTCTTTGCTCATTAAGAGGAATTGTTACAATATGACCCGCTTTTGACACAAATGTCGCGACCATCTTTTTCGAAACTCTTCGAGAACGGATGACTTTTGTTGGCTTTTCTTCACCTTGTAACACCCACACAGCCGACTGTCGTTTATTTTTTGGTTCATAACAGTAAATCCACAATTCATCACCACTAACAATGCTGTACACATTTTTTGAGTTTCCGGAATTGAAACGGTCAAGCGTTTTTTGACACCAATTAACCCTGGCTGCTTTCTGCTCTTCAGTCAACAGGTGGAGTATCCAACGAGAAACTCTTACTACTTACTCCTAATTCTTCATGTAAACTTAGCAAGGCATTCTTGTTGGGATAATTGTCTCTCAAACTTGTAATAAATTATGGCGCGAAAATGTTCTCGGTTGAGTTCCATTTTTATAAAGACTCGGTGACACTCCACTTCACTGTAGTGACAACACTGCACGTATTGTTGTGAAAATTTGGACAGAACTTCTTTTTATCGCAAACTAGTGCCCAAAACATGTTGATTTTTGTTCGAATGTGTCAATGCATTGTTTTATGGTAAAATTTGTATTGTTGTATTAGGTTTACGTTGTATTAAAACCTATTGATATGTATCACTAGATTTTAATAGGGGAGTTATGTGATGGTTCTGAGTGTTCCCAAAATGTGAATTTCCCGCGCGTGCAGTGACCGGTTTCGTGGATAGTTAGCTCACAACGGCAACATTGTAGGAGCTTGCGGAGGCAGTTCGCCCTAGACACTCTAGAAGAGGAGACGCTCTTGCGCCGCTGCGGCCAACGTCTTGTAAAACTCTGTTTGTTGTTGGTGAATTTATATAGTGGATTATTTAGTGAATTTTATTAAGCACGTCCATCGCACCGTTTAATTTAAAACAAATGATCTCTGTTGAATTGTTTTTCTTCGATGCGCCATTCTTGAGTAAAGAAATAAAAACCGTTCTATTGTCTAACTTGCAGAATTATTATTAATCTTATTGGAAAAATTAAACACATTACAGGTAACGAACAACAACAACTGACAACATAAACAACGAAAGGATTTCAAAAATTGTTGATAATGGACCCCTTTACTTAGTATGCATGCTTCCGCCCTACTTCTCATGGAATTGCGCTCTCGTTGAAATATCCCTGGAGTGTTTTTTATTCTACCACAAGCTGCAACTATTATTTCTCTTAATTTCTCTACAGTGATAATGGGACTTGTGTACACCAGTGTCTTAAGATAGCCCCACAGAAAGAAATTTAAACTATTGAGGTCTGGGGACCTTGGTGGCCATTCTTGGGGCCAACCGCGGCCAATCCAACGATTTGGATAAACAGTCTGTAAATAATCACGAACCGCTACACTGAAATGCGCTGGTGCACCATCATGCATGTACCACATATTGTTTCTTAATATTAACGGAACATCATCAAGCAGCAAAGGCAACTGTTGTTGAAGAAAATTGAGGTAAGTCTGTCCGTCAGGTCGTCCCGTCAAGAACAATGGGCCTGTAAAGTGGTTGACAATAATTCCTGCCCTTACGTTAACCGAAAATTGGTGTTGGAAATGGGTTTCGGTTACAGCATATGGATTTTCTTCTGCCCACAAATGATTATTGTAGAAATTCTGAATGGAATTTCGAGAAAAATTAGCTTCGTCCGTGAACAAAACCATTGATTCAAATTGCGGATTTTGAGTAATTTTTTGAAGATAACACTGACAAAAGGTCACACGCCTCGGAAAATCAATGGGATGAAATGCCTGTGCTCTTAAAATATGGTAAGGATATAACAAAAAATCCACTAAAATTCTCTAAACAATTTGATGGCAAATATTTAAGTGTCTAGCGATCTTCCTCTTGCTCGTTTCGTGATATTGTTAGATTCTATTTCAAATATCTAAACTTGGCTCTACCTATTAGCACTGTTTTGTCGCTCACGCATGTGCGCCCAAGAACGGCGCGGCAGAAGACGTACTGCCGCGCCGGGCAGACACTGCCTGACATTGACCGTGAGTAGTCGTAATTGTAAAAATCTAACAATATTCTTCGACTTCGTGCAGCACTGCTTCCTCAATTTCAGGAGTTCTTACACTTAGAGGTCTACCTTGAGATGTTCCTTTTCGGACAGAACCAGCTTCAACAAGACGACGATGAATATTAGAAAAAGTTCGACTATCTGGAAAAGCACGATCGGGATATCTCTGGTGATAAATCCATATGGCTTGCTGATAATTACCGTCGGCAAGGCCATATACGTAATGCATTACTGCATTTGAATAATTCGCCATTCTTAACAAGATTGTAAAAACTAAATAATGAAAAAGATGTCACAGCGAACAGATTTGAATAACAGAGACTTGTCAGATGTCAAAATCCAGTGACATATTCCAGAGCAACTAGATATTTATTGCTAAATTGCATTCTTCAATTATTACATTAATTTTCTCGGACAATAGAACGGTTTTTTTGTCTTTACTTAAAAGTGGCGCATCGAAGGAAAACTATTCAAGAGATATCATTTGTTTTAAATTGAACGGGGAATTGAAAAATAATTTTTATTTGGCAAAAAACTATTGGCGTACCATTTTTTTCTTAAAAAATATCGAAGTCAATACCCGTACGCATGCCACTGCTGAGGCTAAACATTATTTTTGCTTTGGAAAATATGCAACTTTATTAACTTCCACTACGTACTAAATATCAGTGAAATATCTGAAAATATTAATTAATTTCCATTTTCTTCCTAAAACTTCAACACCCCGAGTTTGGTAAGGAAATATTTTTGGACCGTAGTTTATCAAGCAAACTAACATTAATTGTTCATGTAGATTCACACCCTTAAATATTCACATATCATTAAGTAACACCCTGTATAATTCCGTGAGATCGGTCTATACAACTGGATCCGTTATTGGACAGATCCACAACCTTGGGTAGTTCAATGCTTTCGTCTGCTTTAGTATCAAAAAAGTAAGTGGCAACGCGAGTGGGAAGCACATAGCGAAACAGCGGCCTGGAAAAAAGAGTTAATCCCGAATGTAGTACAATGGGTAAATTGCAAACACCGCAATGTGAATTACTACGCAGTTCTTAACTGGACATGGCTATTCTGGTTCATACACCAAAAGATTAAAAAATAACAAAGGAAAGCACCTGCGGTAACGAAGACTCGGCTGAACATACAGTGCTAAATTGCGAGAGATGGCAGGTATGGACAGGTACTGTCGACAGGCAATTTGGAGAAAAGACAAATGCGGAAAGCATCATAAGCCTCATGATGGAGAACAGGCAAAACTGGAATGTCGCACAAAAGTTCATCAGAAACGTGATGACAACTAAAAGACTAGATGGAAAACTGGTATAAGAACGGAGATAGCAAGACGGAATAGACGCTGCGACTTACATGAAGACATGCCACTAAAGTGGTGTTACCACGTAGTCGCGAGCCAGAGGAGGTGGTTTAGTGGGTAGTCAGTCTACTAGAATGTAGCTGGAACCACGGCGTATGAGGTCCGTAAAATGGATTCCACCTCCCGGTCCCCCTAGGACCACTAAAAAAAAAAAAAGTATCAAAAAAGTGTTCCAGACTCAATAGTGAAATCGTTTCTCGAAGAATGAGTGTATCAATACACCCACAAAATGGACACGTCTATTCCCAACCTACCTTCAATACATCGAAACATAACATAAAGTTCCGTATTCGGCAAGGCAGGCGAAGCGGTTCGACAGATAGCAATTCCGTCAACAACAATAACAAAGTGTAGCAGCAATTAACCCTCGAAACGGGCGGCGGTGTTGGCGAGAAAGGCTTTCGTGCCCCCGCAATTAGCGCCGGTTACGAGAATTGCAAACATTCAGGTGATCCGCCGGCGATAAAAGAATTGTTATAACTTTAGCAATAAAACAAATGCCGTCGCCACGCCACAGCCCGCTCCCCGTGAAGCCATCTCATCCCACCG